TATATATATATATAGCGTAGTGGTTACAAATCAAGCTGTTAACCTCAAGGTCAACAGTTCAAAACTACCAGCTGTTCCACAGGAGAAAGACGAGGCTTTCTGCTCCCGTAAAGATTTGCAGCCTCGGAAACCCTGTGCAGGGGTCACTATGAATTTGAACCGACTCCACGGTACTTAACAACAACAATATATATATATTTAGTGGATCCATAGGATAAGACTGGATGGTAAACCACAAAGTCAGCAGTTCAAGCCTACCAGCAAGTCTTTGTAAGACAGATGAGGCTTTTTGCTCCACAAAGTTTTAAAAGCCTTGGAAAACCTATCCAGAGTTACTGAATGAAAACCAACTTAACAGCACTTAACAACAACAAATAAATGTATTTTTATGTGCTGCAAATATATCCATGAATATAGTAAAGCATACAGGGGGAGTAATTACGAAAACTTCTTAGGCATAACCAAACACCTTGATGGAATGAGTTACTGGGCCTGGGAGCTTAGGACCATAGTCTCCCGTGACGCCAAGGTCAACTGGTATAACATAGTCCACAAAGACATTGTTCTCCATACTAGTGTGGCTAGTAGCAACTCGGATCTTAAAATCTCGTGAGCCGCCATCTAATGCGTAGCTATTAATGTCTTTCCTGCTCTGGAACAAAGATGAATTAAGAAACTTGAAGACTCATGAAAGCAGTTAGTCTAATGGACAAATGGACCTTTCTAACCTCAGTCACCATAATCCTGAGAACTGAATTAGATGGGTACCAAGCTACCACTACCAATTACCCTCAAAGGGATCACTATAGAAGGTCCTGGATCGTGTGGGCGAAAAATGTGGAACAAAACTCAAAATCACAAAAATGACTAGGCCTATTGGTCAGATAGAAACTGGTGAAACCCCAGAGACTATGGCCCTTAAATACACTTCAGATTCAATTAGCAGCCAAAGGATGGGTCAATAAGATGAACAGTAACTCTAGGGAGATAGCACTCCATAGAACAACCAAATACCCATTTGAGAACAAAAGCATATCACTTGCCCAAGGATAAAGTTCAGAAGGCAGGAAGGATTTGAAAAGGAGGAAGAATGCAAATAGACACAGGGTGGAAGTGGGATGTTGTTGTTGCTAAGTACTGTGGAGTCGGTTCCAACTCATAGTGACCCTGCACAGGGTTCCGAGGCTGTAAATCTTTACCGGAGCAGAACACTTCATCTTTGTCCCGTGGACCCGCTGGTAGTTTCGAACTGCTGATCTTGCGGTTGGCAGCCCAACTTGTAACCACTATGCTACCAGAGCTCTTAAATTGTGGGAATTACAATTAGTAACATAGAACAAAATGTTTATGAATTATTGAAAGCTAAACTGATTTGCTCTGTAAACCTTCACCCAATTTACAATAGAAAGTTAAAAAAATAAATAAAGCCAAGATGACATGTAGTTATCTAAATAGCATTCTGTCACACTAAATTATAGTCCTTTTGTAAGGACCAAACTGATTTTGCCTACCTAGAAACTGCTTGACTAAACTCTAGTCAGGCTCAGGAAAGCATTTTAAATAGACAAGGCCTCAGTTATTAGTTCCCTCCAGAGGCAAGGTCAATCTCCATTCTGTACATTAGCCTGAACACGTACTCTAGCTCCAAGAATATGATATATGCATAAAGAGCCAGG